GTCTTCCTATTACTATTAGTAGTATTCTTTTTCGTCTTCTTATTTCTATCATCAGTATTAGTATTAGTAATATTTTTCTTCGTAATAGCATTGTGAATAATAATATATTTCATTGTATTATTAGTGTCAGTCGTGTTAGTATTACTCTTATTAGTAGTAATATTATGATTCGTCTTCTTCTTATTATTCTTCTTATTCTTAAAGTATTAGTATTAGTATCACTATTCTTCTTATCATTATTATTCCTTTAGTATTCCTATTATTCGTATTCGTATTGTGTTGATTCTTCTTCTTAGTATTATCATTCGCATTCTTATTCTGATTATGATTACTACTATGTTTGTATTATTATTATGTTCGTTATTTTTCTTAGTCGTCGTATTCGTATTAGTCCTATCCTCTTATTACTATTTCTTTATTATAACTATTTGTAAGATTCATCGTATTAGTAATCTTCTTATTATCAGTACTAGTCTTCCTCTCCTTTAGATTATTCCTCTTATTAGTATTCAGATTATACTTACTATGCTTCTTAATATTTGTCTTATTACTATTCTTATTTTCTTCTTATTACTATTATTCGTAGTCTTATTCTTCTTATTACCTACTATACTATGATTATTATTAGTATGCTTCTTATTATTGGTACTGTTATTATGAATGTTATGATTAGTCTTGTTCTTATTAGTAATAGTCTTCTTGTTATTCTTATTATTAGTAGTATTAGTATCAACATCACTATTTTTAGTATTATGATTAGTAGTATTAGATTTCGTCTTCTTATAAATACTAGTATTATTATTAATATTATTATTATTATCCTCCTCCTCCTCCTCCTCCTCCTCCGCCGCCTCCGCCTCCGCCGCCGCCTCCGCCTCCGCCTCCGCCTCCGCCTCCGCCTCCCTCCTCCCTCCTCCTCCTCCCTCCTTTTCTCCTTCTCCTCCTCCTCCTCCTCCTCCTCCTCCTCCTCCGCCGCCCGCTGGCCTGCTCGCCCCGCCCGCCCCGCCCGTGCCCTGCCCCCGCCGGCCCGCGGCTCGCCGCCGCCGCCGCCGCACGCGCCGCTGTCTGGCCCGCCTGGCGGCCGGCGGGTCTCCCCGGCTGCCCCTGGCCTGCCTTCCCGCCGCTGCCGCCGCCGCCGCGCGTCGCGCGCCCGGTGCCGCCGTGTTCGCTGGCAGCTCCGCGTGCCCCACGGCTGCGAGCGCAGGTGCCCTCGGAACGAGCGCCCCGACCTTGGGGGCTGGGCCTGCTGCTCGCTTGCTGCTGCCGCCCCGTCGCACTAGGTGGTGTTCGCTCGTGGCTTCCTCCCCTGTCTCCTTCTCGAGCGGCCACGGTGGCCTTGTCTTGGGGCCGCAATGCACGGAGGAGAAAAGAGGACGGAGAGGGGAAAGGTCTGACGTCCTAACCCTCCCTCCCATCCCTTACCACTTACCATTGCGTAGAGCCGCTCTATATTCGCAGTCGGGAATCGAAGGAATCCTGGTTCCCGAGTGGGTAAACGCCGCACAGATAGCATGGCGTAGGAGAGCACGGCAGAGCGAAGAATGGTGTAGCATTGCGTAGCCAAGCATTGCATTTCATGGCATCGCATAGCATTGCATAGCATAGCAAGACATGGCATCTCACAGCGGTGTATCATATGGCACCACGCTGCATGCCATGTCAAGACGCTGTACACTACAGCCTGTTGTCGCATTGCGTAGCTAAGGCTTGCATACCACGGCACTACAAAGCAAGGCTGGGCATCGCATAGCGGCACCAAAGTCCGCCACCGCGCCTGGTGCACGCTGAGGCGTGGAAGAATGCCACTGCATGTCCGGTTGTGTTTTCGCCGTCTAATGGCGGATCCCCCCCCTCTGCTCGCGCGTCTCCTTGCATGCACCGCCCCCCCTCCTGAGGCCACGATCTCTCGCAAGAGATCATGGAGCCGCGCTCTCGAGGCCAAGATCTCTGGTACAGAAAAAGCAGGGGCGTGCGCCCCGAGTTTCCAGGACGGTCCAGGGGGCAGACAGCCGAGGACACCAAGATGGCCCAAGATGCCTCGGAGACGGCCCACGATGAGCCTCCGTCGGCCCAGTCTGGCCCCAAGACGGCCCAGGAAGCCTCCAAGAGGGCCCACAAGGGCCACAAGCGGACCTCCACAAGCTGACCTTCGACAGGGTCCGAAGAAGCCAAAACCATGGATGCCCCTCAGGTTGTTAAACGATGGTTTTTTCAGGCATAGCTGGTTGTTCTTTTCAGGCTCCTGTCAGATCAAGACGGCCCAAGAAGCCTCCACTATGGCCCGATGACGGCCCAGGAGGCCCCCAAGAGGGACTCAAGATGGTATAAGGGCTCCCACGATGGCCAAAGAGGCATTCAAGACGGCCCTCAGACACCCGAGACGGTCTTAGAAGGCACTTCAACTACACAGAACGGCCCCACGACGGCCCCCAGACACCCACCACGCGGCTAAAAGGGCCCCAAGACGGCGCAAGAAAGCCCCAAGACTGCGCAGGAAGGCCCCAAGACAGCCCAAGAGGGCCCCAAGGGACCCCCAAGACTCCAAGACAGCCCCAAGAAGACCCAAACGAGTCCCATAGGAGCTCACCAGATCCGGCACAGTGCCGCGAGGCGCGAAGTGGAGTGCTCTTCAGGCTCTCATGTGACGTATGTTCTCTGTACTCAGGAATCTGGGATTATCGTATTCTGAGGACTAGAGCCCCAAACTCTCCAATCCCATCAGCCCTCTGGGCGTAGGTGGTCTAAGGCGTTTCCTCTTCCACACCTCCCTCATCCCCTCCCCCTACCCCCTCCCCTGGACCTGGACGGGGCTTTCCGCGAGCGGTCGGAGCGTCCAAAACGGCCTCGGCGAGGAAGCCAAAATCCGCCGGCCCCCCTTGTGGGGCCACCAGGCTGCGAGGCACGGGTTCGCAGTTTCCAGTACCAGTTGTAGCTTGTAGTTTCCAGTGTTACAGTTCTGCTTCTTGCTGGTTACTGTAACTACTTGATTGACCGCGCGATGGGGGGGAGGCCCAAACGGTATTTTTAGCACCCCCTGGGCGCGTAGTCTGAATTGCTGGGGGGGCTCGAAATCGACACCCCTCACGCAGATCCGCGGGGTCAGGGTCCAAAAACATAGGGGATTTGCTACATTTCTGAAATTCGGTGCCACCCCTCACGCAGATCCGCGGGGTCAGGGTCCAAAAAGACACGGGATTTGCCACATTTTTGAAATTCGGTGCCACCCCTCACGCAGATCCGCGGAGTCAGGGTCCAAAAACACATGGGATTTGCCACATTTCTGAAATTCGGTGCCACCCCTCACGCACATCCGCGGGGTCAGGGTCCAAAAACACATAGGATTTGCCACATTTCTGAAATTCGGTGCCACCCCTCACGCAGATCCGCGGGGTCAGGGTCCAAAAACACAGGGGATTTGCCACATTTCTGAAATTCGGTGCCACCCCTCACGCAGATCCGCGGGGTCAGGGTCCAAAAACACATGGGATTTGCCACATTTCTGAAATTCGGTGCCACCCCTCACGCAGATCCGCGGGGTCAGGGTCCAAAAACACATGGGATTTGCCACATTTCTGAAATTCGGTGCCACCCCTCACGCAGATCCGCGGGGTCAGGGTCCAAAAACACGGGGATTTGCCACATTTCTGAAATTCGGTGCCACCCCTCACGCACATCCATCGCAAGGCGTGGTAACCCAAACTGCGAGTACTCCCTCGGCCCTTTAATCCCAAGGTGTGGTAACCAAGCTCGTAAACCATACACGTCTTACCAATCGCCCTGTGTGGTAACCCCTCTTGTGATCAGTTGGTTTTGCCGATTGCGAATCGGCCTCGCATGAAGTTCCGATACTGCTGCACGACAGCGCCAAAGCCTCATGACTTAGCTCTTCCATGGCCCATTCTCCGAGAGAGGGGGCCGGCGGCAGGGGGCGAAGCCCTTACGGATCATTAGTTTTACGAGGGTTTGGGCCCCATTTTGGCCCGTGGGGGGGAAGCCTAATTTAAGCTCTCCTCGTGTTTGATCGATCTCCTCCGACATGGCCCCAAGAGCGCTCCCAAGGCGCCCAGGGGTGCCCCGAGAGGGATCCAAGAGGTGGCCAGGAGGCCCCAAGAGGCCCCAAAGAGGCCCCCAGGATGCCTTAAGAGGCTCCCAAGAGACCCCAAAAGGCAGCAAGAGGCCCCCCAGAGGCACCCAAGACGCTCCAAGAGGCCTCGGCGAGAATGTCAAAATCATTGATGTTACTCAGATGTTGGCCACATCTTAGCTTCCTGGGGGTGCACTGCTTAAGGTGACTCCAAGAGCGCCTGGGAGAGCCCAAGATGACCTCCAAGATGGCTCAAGATATCCCAAGATGCCTCAAGCTGGCTCCCACGATGCTCCAAGAGGCCCCAAGACCGCTCCAAGACGGCTCCAAGTGGCCAAAGAGCTCACCCAGGAGGCCCCGAAGAGGCCGAAATCCTTCCAAAACCTTTTGTAAAATCAATGTGTTTGACTGTCTCGCCTTTTCGCTTCCGATGGCCATCCGAGGCCTCAAGATGGCTCCAAGATGGCCCAAGAGGCCCCAACAGGCGCCCAAGAGGCCTCCTAGAGCTCCCAAGAGACCTCCAAGAGGCTCCAAGAAGCTCTCCGAGGCACACAAGACGCTCTAAGAGGCGTCTGGGACCGCCAAGATCCAAGAGGCCTCCACTGGGGGACCCTTCCTCTGCGTGCTGCCCACTTCGCTGATTGGGGCAATTTAGCAAGAGGAGACGGCAAGGAAATCTCAGGCGAGAGCGCGGTTCCTGAGTAGAGCATGAGGAAGACCCCAGCGAGAGCGCGATCTCAGAGCGCCGACAGAGCGAGCGGTGAATAACGTGTAAGGAACTCTCAGGCGAGAGCGTGATGCCTCAGCAAATCGCACAAAGTCCCGAGCGAAAACCCGATGTCTCGATCAATTGTGAGGAAGTTTTAGGCTGGAGCCGCTGTTGCGGTTAACCAGGGGCCAGCGACGCAGTCTGGGGCGCAAGACCTGCCCCTGCAAAAGACGGGGTGCGAGCCCCAGGAGGAGCACTTCACTTGGGTACGGGAGGGGTGGATCAGCCATGTTTTGTCTCTCTCCCGCGGCGACGACGACGGTCACTCTCGCGCCAACCATGGACGCTGCCCCCCTCTCGCAGTAGCTTTGCCTACCGAGGGGAGCAACAGCCATTGCGCATGCCTCGAGAAGGGTCTCTCTTCAAAGCCCACGCTGATAGAACATCTGGGAGGTACGGATGACCACGCCGCCCTGGCCTCCTACGGATGCAATCCAAGAAAAACATCGCACGTATGTGTTCGCGCTATGCGCATGCAAAGTGACGGCAATAGCAACAAACTCACATGAACAACAGATGAGGCTGCGACTGGTTTGCTCACGGCACTACGCAAAGAACCTGCTACGTATGCCAACTCACTGCGGGCACCCCTTCTTCTCGTTGGTGCAACACCACTCCTTCTTGTCATCGCTCCATCCCGCCTCCCAGTTGGAATAACCTGCGTCACAATCATAAGGCTTCGATGAAGCTTCTGGGCAACCCATCTGTTTGTTCGGACAACACCAGTCCTTCTTGTCCTGGGACCAGCCAGCCTCCCAGTTCGAGTACCCAGCGTTGCAATCATACGGCTCGGACGGCGTCTCCACGCAGCCCATGTGCTTATTGGAGCAGCACCACCCCTTCTTGTCCGCAGACCACCCCGCCTCCCAGTTCGAGTAGCCAGCGTTGCAGTCGTACGGCTCAGACGGCGCCACAGGAGCCGGCGGCGGCGGGGGCGGCGCCACGGGAGCCGGCGGAGGCGGCGGGGGCGGCGCCACAGGAGCCGGCGGTGGTGGGGGCGGCGGCGGGGGCGGAGCCACGGGCGCCGGCGGTGGGGGCGGTGGGGGAGGCGGCGGCGGCGTCGTGGGGCACCCTCTGCCTGCCTGCAAGCAGCAAGTGACCTTCTTGGAGACATCCCAAGACGGCGGATCGCCCTCCGCGCAGTCGACCTTTTTCTCCGTGGTCGTCACCGGCGGTGGCGGCGGGGGCGGGGGCGGCGGGGGTGGCGGAGGCGGCGGCGGGGGCGGCGGGGGCGGGGGCGGAGGCGCCTCGGTGGTGGTTGTTTTCTTGGTCGTCGTGGGAGCATCAGGCGGAGGTGTCATTGCCAGCAGCGGTGGTGGTGTAGTGATGAGAACTGTGGTGGTCGTTGTCGTGGTGCTGGCTGAGCCCATCAGGAACCAGCAGAGCAGCGGGAGCAACAGCAGGCACAGTAGCAAGGGGATGAGGCATAAGCAGAAGCAGTTGGGGCCACGGTAAGGAAGGGGCAATGTGCTCGAAATGACCGTTTCCGAACGTGCTTCTGGGCCGCTGGCCCCCATGCCAACATACTTGTACGTTGTCTCCTGCACGTAGTCGCCCATTGGCCCGACGTAGGTTTGGGTCTGGGGCGGGCAACCACCCGCTAGGCCGTAGCCACCGGCCCCACCGTAGCCGTAACCCGAAGAACTGCCACAACAACCCGCGTCGCCGCCATACGCGCCGCCGTAGCCCATGCCCGCGCCACCTCCGCCGAAGCCGCTGCCACTGGCGTAAAGCATCCCTCTGTGAACTGGCAGAACGGAGTTGAACAAACAGGCCTGCCACGGGAATCGCACTTGAATCAAAATGGCTTGAGCCAAAAAAGATCTTCTGAAATGAAATACTGGACGAAGAGAGAGATAAGATAATTTTTT